TGGTTCCATTCCTCATAGGTGTTCCTATAGCAACTGACCAATCTCTCTTTCTTTCTCTCTCTCTCTCTCTCTCTCTCTCCTTTCATCTCTCTCTAGAAATCAATAAAAATCCTATATAATAAAAGCCTAATATGAAAATTGACCAGACAACTGAACGGACAACCAGTTGCTATGATGCTCACTGACCATGGGGCAGACGCTCAACGCAGGAGCTGTCCCCTGGTGGTCAGTGCACTTCCACAGCGGGAGTGCCGCTCAGCTGACCGACGGGAGCCAGATGCTGGGGCTGACTGCTGGCAAGCACAGCTGTGGCAGCATGAGCCTCTCCCGCCACCGTGGCAGGCGCAGCGGGGCAGGGAGGAGGGGGAGTGGCAGGCAGGAGCAGCAGGTGGTGTTCGACTGCTGGTTTTGGTGGATTCCCACAGGCCACGCCGAGGGACCTCACCAGTGTATGAATTCATGCACCGGACCTCTGGTTAAAAAATAATGCAAGAATAAATTCAGTTTTGCATACTCACAACTGTAAACCTACGTTTGCCCCACCCTGTATATGATGTACTACCTCTTCTGTTATAACAGGACCCACTAGTAGGATTGCCAGATTTAATTAACACATAAAAATTTTATAAGACATCCAGTTAAATTTTAAAAAAATATTTTAGTATAAGAATGCAATATTTGGGATATAGATGTACTGGGTTCTACTGTAGCCCAAGTAAATCAAAACCAGTTTGGCTCAGTAGATACAACATTGGCCCACAGACTGAACGTTCCCAGATTCAATTCAGGTCAAGGGCATGTACCTCGGTAGCATGCTTGATCCTCAGCCCCAGTCAGGGCATGTAGGGGAAGCAACCAATCGATGTGTCTCACATTGATGTTTTCTTCTCTCTGTCTCTTCTCCTTCCTTCCACTCTCTCAAAAAATCAATGAAAAAATATCCTCAGGTGAGGATTAACAAGAACAAACAAAGTGGGGCTTGGGTTCTGGTAGTTTTTAAAGCTCCCTAGGTGATTATAATGGTTTTCCAGGGATGAGAACCACTGTACTGGGTTAGTCCAGTGCCCCACAGCATCAGCGTCACAGAGTTCCAGACCTTACTCTAGACTTAGTGCATCAGATCCTCTGGGCATTGGACCCAGTGAGCAATTTTTAATGAGCACTCCTGGTGACTTTGATGCATACTAAAGTTTTAGAATCATTCATCTACATGAACTAAATGGGAGAGACAGACCTTATTTATTATTATTTATTTTAATCCTTACCCGAGGATATTTTCCCCCTCACTGATTTCTAGAGATCATGGAAGGGAGGGAGAAGGATGGGGAGGGGGGGGAGAGAGAGAGAGAGAAAGAGAGAGAGAGAGAGAGAGAGAGAGAGAGAGAGAGAGATTGGTTGTCTCCCACACATGCCCCTTACAAGGCTGGGGAACCTGCAACCAAGGTGTGTGCCCTTGACCGGGAATCAAACCCACCACCCTTTTGGGCTGCAGGCCGATGCTCTAACCACTGAGAAAACTGGCCAGAGCAGAGACAGGCATTATTTAAATGACCATATAAATATGCAATAGTAAATCTTGCTAAGGGCTAGCTAGCTAGGTGAAGTGCTGAGTGCTGGGAAAGGGTATGACAGAGAAATGAGATCTAATCTGGGGTAAAATAGGATGTAGTTAGGAAAGGCTTTCCTGAGGAAGGGCTATTGAGCTGAGATTGAAGGATGAGTAGGAATTACTAAACATCAGTGGAAAGGTGGTGCACACATACCTGAAGGAGGGAACAGCATATCCAAAGGTCTCAGGGTGGGAAGAGACTGGCTATGTTGTAGGAATTGAAAGAAAACCTTGGAGTGGCTGGATCTGGCATCAAGAGGAAGTGAGAAGCCTGGATAGGAAACCAGAGTGAGATCCTTCAGGATCTTGAGTCTGGGAAGCCATTTAGGATTTTAGGCAGAGAAATGACTTGAACAGCTGTTCATTTAAAAAAGATCACTCTGGGGTCAGCCTGGAGAACAAACTGTAGGGTCCAGGAGTGGATGTGGAAAAACTGTTAGGTGGTGAAAGGTTCTGATGTGTCAGGGCATGTGAGGAGTCCAGGTGGAGGGAGGCTGGTATTGGGGATAAGAAGGAACAGTATGGTCCTGGCTGGGGGGCTCAGTTGGTTGGAGAGTCATTCTGTACACCAAAAAGTTGTGGGTTCAATTCCCATTCAGGGCACATACCTAGGTTGTGGGTTCATTCCCTGGTTGCCGCACATATGGATCAATATTTCTCTCTCACCTCTTTCTCTCTCTCTCTCTCTCTCCTCTCTCTCTCACTCAATAATAAAAAGCAGCATCACACATATCCTCAGTTAAGGATTCAAAAAAAAAGTTAAAAAGGAGAAGTGGTATGTGGAGGGGTAAAAGTTTGGGCTGTTGAGTCACACAGATGTGCTTGCAGATCCAGTCTCAGTTCTTTTTAGCCATGTGCTTCAGCCAAATTGTTTGACTTCTCTAAGCTTATTTTCCTTATCTATAAAAAGGTGGTGATAATCTATAATAATTAGACCGGTTGTCTTCCGGATGTCATTCCAGATGTCCTTCCTGACGAAGCTGGTCCTGGGTGCCTGCAGGTTGCCCAGGGAAAGAAAGGCCTACTCTTGTACGGATTTTTGTGCATCGGGCCTCTAGTGACTACATAAGATGTTGAGTACTCATGAGGATTAAAGGTGTTGATTTATGTAAAGTCCCAGCACATGGAAAACACTCAGTAAAACTAAGTATTCCAAAATTATAAATCTGGATAACCAGAGTAGCTGATTTTCTCAGTTCAGGACTGTATATTCTTTCTTTTGGGAGAAAAATTGTTTTCAAATTAATTTGGGTTTTACAGATCCAAATGATTTGAGAAGACTCGCCTGAATGAACTATCATTTGCCAAGATGGAGGCTTTACATGAGAAAAATCATTAAATATCATTCATACGAGTGTTGTAAACACAATTTGAAAGAACATACAAAATGCATGTATCATATTGCCCCAGAGTTTAGCTAGTAAGCCCGACAAAGACCGGAGAATGAAATAGGAATTATTTAGGACACCCAGGCTTCAGGACATTTCCTGTGGTGACTTTGAAAAGCTCAGTTTC